CACCTGTTTCCCTTACCCAATCCTCACCCTGCCCCTCAGTTAAGAGTCTGTTTTCCAGTTTGTCTTTTTTCCTTTGTTCATTTATTTCTTCAGTGAATGAGCGACATCATATGGTAGGTCTTTCTCTGACTTCTCTCACTTAGTGTAATACTCTCTAGGTCCATTCATGTCTCTGCAAATGGCAAGACTTCATTCTATCTGATGGCTAATATTCCAGTGCGTGTGTGCGTGTGTGTGTCTGTCTGTACGTGTCTTCCTTTATCCATTCATCAGTTGATGGCCTGGCTGTTTCGAGTTTGGAGTTGTAGATAATGTTGCTGTGAACACTGGGGTGCACAGATCCCTTTGAGTTCACGTTTTTATATCATATGAGTAAATAACCTAGTAGCGAAATTGCTAGATTGTAGGGTAGTTTTTAACTTTTTGAGGACCCTCCATACTGTTGTCCAGAGTGGCTGCACCAGTCTGTATCCCTACCGGTGGTGCGGGAGGGCCCCCTTCCTCCACGTCCTTGACAACTCATTTCCTGTGTTGATTTTAGCCACTGACAGGTGTGAGGTGATCTCATCCTGGTTTCAGTTTGTATCTCCCTGAGGAGTGATGTGGAGCATCTTTTCATGTGTCTGTTAGGCACCTGGAGCTCTTCTTTGGAAAAACGTTCATGTGTTGTGCCCGTTTTCCACATCTTTTCTTCGTTTATTTTGTTAGGGGTGCCTGGGTGGCTCAGCTGGTTGAGCATTTGATGTTGACTCAGGTCGTGATCTCACCATTTGAGGTTGAGCCCGATCAGCACGGAGCCTGCTTTGGATGCTCTGTCCACTCCCCCTCCCCCTGCCCCTCCTCCACTGTGCTCTCTCCCTCAAAAATAAACAAACCTTAAAAAATAAAGTTTGGGGTGCCTGGGTGGCTCAGTCAGTTAAGCGTCTGACTTCGGCTCAGGTCATGATCTTGGCAGTTTGTGGGTTTGGGCCCCACATCAGGCTCCGTGCTGACAGTTCAGAGCCTGCTTGGGACTCTGTGTCTCCCTCTCTGCCCCTTCCTGCTCACCTCTGTCTCTCAAAAATAAACATTAAAAAATTAAGTTTATTTATTTTGAGAGAGAAAAGTGCACAGTGGGGGAGGGACAGAGAATTCCAAGCAGGCTCCTTGCTGTTAGTGCAGAGCCCGATGTGGGGCTTGAACACCTGAACCATGAGATCATGACCTGAGCCAAAATGAACTGGACGCTTAACTACCTCGCCACCCAGATGCCCTGTTCTGCCCATTTTTAAGTGGATTATTTCACTTTTGGTGTTAACCTGAATAAGTTCTTTGTATTCTTTGGGTACTAATCTCTCCTCCCGTTCAGGAGGCTGACTTTTAGTTTTGTTGGTGGTTTCCTTCACTGTGCAGAAGCTATTCTGATGTAATCCAGGACTCACGCTTTCTAGTTTCAAAATGTCCTGCAAAGCAACAATCAAGAGACAGCTACCGAGTGCCCAGAGTTAACCCCAGACACCTGTGGCCAGCAGAGTTTCAACAAAGATGCCAAGAACAGAAGACAGAATGATCTTCTCGGTGACGGCACTGGGGCAGCTTAAGAGTCATATGGAGTGGAGCTGACTGCACACCAAATACAAACATTCACTCGAAGTGGAGAAATCTGTAAGGGCAAAATTAAGTAATCAAATTCTCGGAAGTAAACAGGTGTATTTCCATGACCTTGATTCACCAAAGGACTCTGGGACAGGATGCCAAGAGCACAGGCAAATCAAGAAGATATGGTGGATGTTGCCAGAACAGAAGCTTGCTGCCTGAGGGCCACCACTGAGAAAGTGAAGATGGAACCCATGAAACGGGAGAAAACAGTCACAAACCATTTCCTGATGGGAACTGAGTTCTGAGTGTACAGAGAACTCTGACAACTCTGTAAGGTGACCGAATCAAGTCCTGGACACAGAACCGGGCCGGGAATTTCTCCAGAGCCCACGCAGATGAGCAACGATGCAAGTGCACTGGCCGTCAGGGAAATGCAAGGCCCAGAGGCAGCAGCTGGTGCCCACTGGCCGCTGGAGTGGGCGCTCCCTGGCACCGGCCAAGGGAAGACGTACCACCTTCTAGAATGCACAGGACGGCATAGTGACTCTGGAAGGGCTGGGCAGCTCAAACTCCCACATAAATGCACATGGCGGGCATCTATCCCAGAGAGCGAGGCTCCCTCCACCCTGAGTGTGGGGTGACCGGTCACCTGCAGGAACACGGAAGCAGGGTATGGACCCCCTGATGAGTCTCCCAAGAGAGCCCAGGCAGATCCAGCCTGAGGGCTGTGCAGACTCCTCTACAGAAAGCTCTGGAAACAAGAGTGGAGATGAAGGTCAGGCTGGTGGCCACCAGCAGGGGGAGGTGTGGGTGTGAAGGGTGGTAGGAGGGGCCCCTGCATGGAGGCAGTAGCCCTACACGTGGATTCCTTTTCTCGGTGTCCTGGTGACACATACCAGTTGTAGATGTCATCACCAAGAATAACAGAGGACACAGGGACCACTGTGATGTCTCGACTGCAAAGGGACCTGAGCGTCTCCAGTGAAAGCCTGTGGTCCTGAGTGGACAGGACCAGCTCCACACCCCAACCCTCATCTATGCCCGTTCTTCACTGCATGATGTCATCCCTGCTCCCACATCTTGCCTACGCTCAGGGACACCGGCTTCAGAGTCCTCTCAGCTGCTCCTCCCTCTGGCCTGTGCAAATAACAAGTGCCAGAGGCCCCCCTCCACCCGTACCCCAATGCCTGTGGGAGCTGCACGGTTTTGGGAGACTGGACTAGCTCTTCCAGAGGGACCACTTTGGAGATGGCCCTTCTCCCTGCCCCGCTCTGAGCTGCTGGGGGCAAATGGCAGCATGTGGCGGTCATCCTGCTTTTGCAGCAGAGGCTTGGGGAAGGGACAGACTACTGGGCGGGGCAGGGATGAGGCTCGGGCCACTCAGGGACAGGGCACATCCCCCTGGTCTGGAGGTGATGGTAGCTGCATCCTGTCAGCTGACTGCACCTGTCCCTTGTTCCAGAGCCAGTGACACTGGTCAGCTTGGGTCCTTGGGGGTCCTCCACTCATCTGAGACCACAGCACAGGTAGGCAGGGACGCCCAGGACACCTGTGGTCAGTGCCCACACCAAGATCAGAACCCCAAGCCATGTCCTCAAAACCCTACAGGCCTGACCCAGGAAGTCCTCGCAGCCCAAACGCTGGAATCCCAGGACCCTGGGTGTGGACCGCACGGTGTGAACAGCAGGCGGCTCCGTGTGAACATGTGGGACAAGGGGACCTGGGGAGGCAGAGAAGCCGGGACAGACAGGCCGCCATGAGAGCAGGGTGGGTGGTGGCAATGGTGACAAAGTCCGGGACACCTCCTGGTGTGGACACTGGAATTCACTGTTTATTGCCCACAAGAGAGCAGGAGCTGCCGGCCAGCTCCCCCACAGTGCAGTCCAGGCTGTGAGCCGGGTCGCCCAGGGCGCAGTCCAGGTCACTTGGCCAGGGCCCCCAGGGTGCAGTCCAGACTGTGGGCTGGGTCACTTGGCCAGCTCCTCCGCCACTGCTTTTCGCATCTTGTCCTTGAGGTAGGCGCCTTTCTGCCACTCAGACTTGAGCTCCAGCCACTCGTAGTAGGGGACCTGCAGGGGGCAGGGGCACCTGTGCTCTGCCCGCTGCTCCACACCTGGCCTCCCCACCCTCCAAGCCCACGAAGCTGCCGAGTGTGGCTGTGGAAGAAGCTGCCGGGGCCTGAACCCCCGGGGCCAGGGATCTGAGAATCTGTGGCACCTGATGACAACTTTTTCATTTTTGAAGTGAAAAACAAAAACCCATTGAGATACCAAAACTACCACAAGAAGTAAATGTGACAAAACCCTCACATGGTGTCTGGCACTCCTGGGTTCCCCGGCCCATATAGGACTGTCTGCTCTGGAAGGGGTCAGCGGCCCCGGGCCAGGCACTCGTGGGGCGCAGACCTGCTCTAAGAGCCCTGAGCAGACACTTCAGGGCCGCGGCCACAGTGAATCTACGAGGTTCCAGGCCTCCCTTCGTCCCGCACAAAGGGGCCCACTGGACTGGCGGTACTCACGTCTACCACCAGGAAGCCGGCGGCCCGCACGTGACGCCGGGCCAGGGCGAAGCGCCCCAGCAGGTCTCTGCTCCAGCTGCTGAAGTTGGGGAACTCCCAGCGCAGGAACGCCAGCCTGGTGGGGGAGGGGCAGAGTGCTAGGCATTCTCCCAGGGGAGGGGGAAGGAGGAAGGGGGCACCAGAGAAGAGCCAGAGTCCAGGGCCGGCCACAGGCCACCTACCTCTTGGCCCCAGGGGGCAGCGGCTGGGTCCCCGAGGGAGGAGTGAGATGTGGGGCTACAAAGTCTCTCAGGGGCAGGAACTGGCCGTCCGCGTCCAGCAGCACCTCGGCGTCTAGGGAGGGGCACGGGTGGACATGGAAGGGACCGTCCCTGGGGCACAGAGACCTTGTCCTGGACAGAACAAGCCCCGTGCCCACCACCAGGGTAGTGCAGAGAGGGCCTCACCCAGAACCCAGCCGTACTGCGTGGCCACTGTGAAGCTGCCCCTGCTGGGGCTCCCCAGCAGCCCCCGCAGGGTGTCCCGCAGTTCCTTCTGCAGGGGTGTGGCCTTCCCATCACAGGCCAAGAGCCAGGGCGCCCAGTCTGAGGCCGGCAGAAGGGGGCCCGTGTACTCAGGGTGCTCCAGCTGGGCGGTGGCGCTGATGTGCAGCAGCTTCTGGAAGGTGCTCTGGTCCTTTGGGGACTCGCTGCCTGAGGCAGAACGAGAAGGGAGGGTGAGCCGAGGCCGACGCTGGGCCAGAGAAAGAAGGGGGCCAGGCAGGGGACAGTGACACCCTCGATCCCAACGGACTCTGAACTTGGCATCATCAGGGGCAGAGACAAGATCATAAGGGCCACGCACATGGAGAGGCAGAGGGATGGAGGAACAGATGCCAGCCAGGTGAGCTCTGGGCACCATCTTGCTGCTCTGGAGCCCCCTCCCTGCCAGGCCTGAGGCCCCCAGACCCCTGGGGTCAGGGAGGGGAGGGGAAGCCCCAGCACTCACCCAGGAACCGGGCATGCAGTTCAGGGCAGAGCACCGCTCGCAGCGCCTCCCCCTGCACCTGCTGCAGCACGCACAGCGCCCACACCACATCCACCTGCAGGGCCGGGTGCAGGCTCCGCAGCTTGGGCCCCAGCTTCTCGTGAACCTAGACAGGGGCGGGGCTCTGCTCAGCAGCCGCATACCTCCTGGGCCGGAGGCAGTCGGAACGCTGGAATGGCTTGGCTGCGCTGAGGCTAGAACAACTACTGGGAGCAATCCTGGCTGACGTTCTTGGCCAGGCTTGGAGCCCCCCCTTCCCCCAGTAGAAAGTACCAGAAACCTTCTTCCTCACCCAGGACTAATGGACAGCACAACATGCAGCAGGACTTTCCTGCTGCCCCTCCCAGCAGCAAGGGCCTGTGGCACAAAATCACAGGCCCCTGGGGACAGGGATGGATTTCTGGCCCTGGGAGAGCTTGGGAGAGTACAAGGAGGGCAGTGTCCCCGTGGAGGCCCAGGTGCACACTCGAGATGTGTCATGCCTGAATGGGCCTGCTCGGGCCTGCTTTGCATGGTGGTGTGCCAAGGGTTCAGAGCACCAGCAGGACAGTAAGGGAAAACCAGCGGCCCCCTAGCCCTGACTGCGGCGAGTGAGCCAGCCAACACCTCCCAACCTGTGCACACGGCCGCACAGCAGGCATGTAGAGGACCTCACATCTTTTGTCCCCAGACCATCCCTGTGACACGGGGCTCCAGCTCCCCTCTCACCCCTGAAGCCCCTGGGTCAGGGCTCCCCTCTCTTGCCTCCACACCCAGGGTGGGTGAACAGGTGCACAGACCATACCAGGCCGAAGAACTTGTCCTCTCGCTCGGGACGGAAGTTCAGGTGTGCGAAGGCCAGAAGCACGTTGCACAGGTGCGGCACGGTGACGGTGTGGGCTCGGTCTACGACGTGCTGGGCCGGCCACACGGGGTGGAGGACAGAATGAGAGGGGCCCTCCCGCAGGGCCCACGAGCCCCCAGCCGCCCGGGGGCCACCTGGACAGGGTGGTGGGCCAGACCTCCCCCTGCTCATTGCCCCCACCCAGAGACCGGTGGTAGTGTCACAAACGCCCCGGGTGGTCTGCGCAGCCTCAAGCCGCTGCAGGTAAAGTTAAGTGTCTCTCCTCGCTGTTTCAGGGGATGAAGTTTAGAGTCCTGAGCAAATTCCGAGCCTCACGATCCACACTACGTCCTGCTATAGCCACCCGAAGACAGATGGAAACTCCTCCAGAACCCAGTGACATGACGGAGGACACCGTCCTCACCCGCCATTCTCCACTGCCCACAGAAGCCGCGCGCCTCTACGAGTGAGCCGGGTAGGAAGCCCCTGTTCATAACCGGGGAGTGTCCGGGGCGGCCATGCCTCCCCAGTGGAACAAGCAGGGTCTGCCCGGCTCACCTGGGCCAAGGCCTCGAACAGGGGAGGGCTGAGCCACTTGAGGAGGGCGAAGGACTTGGCGCCACGGGCCACCTCGCCGGACGTCAGGCTGGGCACGTGGGGCAGCAGGTCGGCAGCCAGGCGCTGGAGCACCTGGGTCTGGTGGAAGCCAAGTTTGCCTTCGGGACAGAGCAACCCCAGGGTTCACCTGGTGAGGGTGGGCAGGCTGCTCTGCCCTCCCTCTGCCCCCAGTGCCTGGCCTGGAGCTCCAGGGGCTTGGTGTCCGTGACCGAATTTATCCCTGAGGCCCAGCACAGAGGATCAGGGCCCATGAGCCACGGTGTTCCTGTGGCAGCCTCTTGGGCCGGCGCCTGCCACGGGTGGGCGGGCACCGAATTTGACACAGCTGCGGCCAGCCCGCCTCCCTTCCCACCGCTCCCCATGGGGAAGGCTCACCGTAGGCATAGGCCAGATCCAGGAGCATGCCTTTTGTCAGCGGGAATGGCTTCTGGACCAGGTGGTAAGAGACGGCACGCAACAAGGGCACTGAACGCCGGTTCTGAGCCGCCAGCGTCACCAGCACCTTCCGCAGCTCTTCGGGGCCGAAGCGCTCCACCAACTCCAGGCACTGTCAACCACAGCCCTCAGGGTCAGCTTGGCGGCCCAGGCCGGGGATCCCATGCAGCACCGCCCCTGTGGGACAGCGACTGGACCTGAGCTCAGTAATCCAGTACCCTGCCGTGCGGGCCTACTCGGTTCTCAGCCGGGGCACCCGTGGGCCCGAAGTGGCCTGTCTGCAGCCAAACTTATCCCCGGGTCCCAGGGCAGGGGACCCGGAGCCCATGAGCTGTGAGCTTCCTGTGGCAGCCATCTGGGCCAGCTCTCGCTACAACAGGAGCGGGGGCTGAATTTGACTTGACTGCCGGGGGCGTGTGGCACATCACCAGAAGCGTTAAGCGGAGCCCCCTTGTAAGCGTGGCTTAGGCTCTGCCCTACCCCTGAGGCCCTCCAGGGAGAGGAGGAGAGCCGGCAGCCCGCTAGCTAGGTCCACCGCCAGCTAGGTCCACTGTGTGGCCACGGGGCGCGCCTGCAGCTGCCTGGGGCTCCTGCCGCAGTACCTTGTCCTCCAGGCGGTTCATCAGCGGCTCAGAGAGGTGCCCCGTCTTCGCCATCAGGGCCACCGCAGTGCGGCCATCATCGATCTCCGTCCAGCGCCGCTCTAAGTGCAGCAGCAGCTCAGCCAGCAGCTCTGGGGACTCCCGCATGTGTGTGGCGCTCGACTCGGCCAGGAAGGCCAGCTGCCTGTACTTGAGCCTACGCAGGCGCCAGCGGACCTCCTGCTCCACCGAGCGCAGCTCCCTGCAGGCCGCGGGCAGCGCCAGCGCATACAGGCTGCGGAGCAGTTTCACAAGGGTCCCGTGCCACACAGCACTTATCTGGTGGGGGATGGGGGGGGAAGGGGACACACACGGGGCAGTCACAGCCGGGACCCCACCTGCCCTGGGCTGGTCTGCAGCCCACACCAAGTCTACCTCCCGCGCCACCTGGTCAGCCGTGCAGGGTCACCCGTGAGCAAGGACCCCTGTGCTAGTCAGAAGATTTCCCTTGAGGGGAGACCACAGACACCCGCTGTGGCTCCGTGTGCCCAAACCCAAGCAAAACCGTGGAGTCCAGAAGCCAGGGGGAAGCGTGTGGGACAGACTCCGAACTAAGAGTTTTGTCAACCCGCTCATTCTGTTGCTTGTAGCGACGGTAACAGTTTTTAGGTGTTACAGACCCACCAGCCCTTCTTCAGAAGCAGCGGCCACATCGCATCTGACAAACCCCGAACCCTGAACCTCTTTTCTCCCACAAAGCAGTCCTAAGGTTTCCGGGAACGTAGTTTCTTAGGAATGCAACCACCGAGGACAGCAAAGGTGACATCCCTACAGAGCATGCCCAGGCATCAGCACCCCGCCAAGGGCTTCCACCTTCCAGGGCTGCTGCTGACACCAGCCAGCACGCGGGGATGCCCCTGGCACGTGAAGCTACGTGAAAAAGCGCTTGATATGCGGGCAGAGAGAGGCCAGGTGTCACAGAGTCCTGCCTACCCCACACTCCCTGGCACCAGCGAGGAGTGGGGCGGGGGGGAGTGGCTGGCCAGCCACCTGCTGCCACCGGCACTGTGTCAGACACCGGCACGCCGTGAGGCTTAACGCCAGGCTCCACGACGTCCCCAAAGCCCCAGTGCACACGGCAGAGCTTCCCTCTTCCTGGGGGCCTGCCTGTTTCTGAACAAGGGGGCCCCCTGTTCTCAGTGTGTCACAGTCCGGTGCAGGACCCTGCGGTCCAGGTGCGGCTCCACCTGCAGCACGCAGCCTCTGCCCGTTAGGGGGTGGGGGGGGGTGCTGAGTGCAAACAGGGAAGGTGGCGTGGAGGGGCTGGGCAGCTGGAGACATGCATGCTCCATGACAGCAGGGACACTTTCAAATAAGAGAGCCTGGCCACCATCCGCATTACCCATACTCTGGTCCCCGCTTGCTTTCGGCTTACGACTCTGTTACAAGGTTCACTCTTATCTCCCAGAACTTGCTTCGGTTCCGTGTGTGTGTGTGAAACGTGCACTGACAATTACAGGCTTACAGCCTCGGAACAAGAAGGGACTCAGTGAACCGTCACCAGCTATGGCATCACCAGGAAGCAAACTGGTGCCCTGACCACAGCACACACCTCTAACTGAAGCAAGAGGTTCCAGGATGCCATGCTTCCCTTACCACACACGCATTCTGGCATTTTCTCCATTACCCTATCTCATTAAAACCAGCCGGCCACATCCACTACTCTCACAGCCTCTGGTTTGGAAAACACTGTTAGTGCAACTGCCACCCCGATCCGTGCCTCTCCTCCCCATCCTCTCGGACAACTGGACAGAGTCCCCTGCTCAGTGTCGGAAGCACGGCTTCTTCCCGGTAGCACGGACCAAGGCAGGGAGTGAGGGCCGACGCAGCCAGTGCCACGGGCCCCTGGCACTGGAGCGAACAGCCTGGCTGAAGGGAGTCCTTCCTCAGCCAGCCCAGAGAGGGCCTGAGGTCTGACCACCCCGCCCGGCTGCCTGGGATTCCCCGTCAGTCACCCCACATCCCCTGCAGCCATAGGAGTGCGCCCACAGTTGGCCAGACACTGCGGCAGGGTCATGCAAGTCAGCACCGCCTGGCAAGGGGACGAGCACCCAAGGAACCGGGTGGAACCAGTGCGGCTTCCTGTGCTGCTGCGCCCCGTGTGCTGCTGAAAGGACAGTGGAAGGATGGCAACGTTCACCTAACGGGACCGCTCTGTGATCAGTGGGGAACAGCAAGCAAAAGTAGCCTAGACTTTATACAACAAAAACTTCTCACAGGACGGAGAGAACTAAGCAAGGCAGCACAGTTCCCATCTATACCTGCAAAGTGACTGGCTGCTTTGGACTCTGGTGCCATTGTTTTCTGCATGGGGAACCCTGAGAGAACATTTTAGAAACCCACCTGGCTGTCAACGAGATGGAGAAGCTGCTGAAAGCGGGCATCCTGCACGAGCAAGGCTCTGTCTTCCGGCTTGTCAGACAGCAGGCGAGAAAGCTGGATAAGCATGAGGGCCGCATGGTTCTCTTGCAGGCAGCGACTGTCACTGAGCAGCTCCAGGAGCTCCTCTGGCCGGGTGGCCTTCTCAATGAGCCGCTCCACCTCCTGGTGCTCTGGACAGGGGGCAGACAGTTGTTCCTTCTCCACAAGCCCCGACAAGGGGCCTGGGAAGTGGGAACTGGGGCAGGTGGCTGAGAAAGTCAGAGTCCTATGCGCCACGCTGGCAAGCCTCAGTCGGCCTACCGGAGCCACCACAGGGGCCAGAAGGGTGGCCTCTCTCAGGAGGCACGCGCATCGCTTCACCAGGCGGGCTGCCATGATGGCCTGGGTGGCAGGGAGGGCAGCTTCCTAGTGAACAGGTCCAGGTCCAAAGCCCTGAAGAGGAAAAGGAGAGAAAGGGGTGATGCAGGTGCAGCTTCTAAGTCAGAGATCCGAGAACATGGCAGGTGACACAACGTTGTGGCCACTCTCCACACTAGCCGGAACCTCTGCTTTCTGCCTGCCCCATACCTGGGACACAGAGGCTTTTTGTTTCGCTGTTGGATGGAACCAAATGCCAACCCCAGGAGCATTACAGCTAGGGCTAGAGAGCACAATTGCCTACGGGGCGGTTCAACCATTCAGATCCCCAGGTTCAGCCCCGGGTTCCTAGGTGGGAGTCTCCGCAGGATTGGACAGTGTCCTTTCATTTACTTTAAAAGTAACCCAGGATCAAGAATGATGGACTTCCAGAAGCACAAGACGATATTTCACATCAGACTGCCCCTGGAAAGCCCTGGAAGTATGACCCACATCCCGCAGCCTCACAACGTGGCTCAGAATGACCTCCTGGGTTTACATCCCTCATCCCGACAGGCCCTGCACCTTCAATAGACCCAGCCAGGGCTACTGCCCCCCACCCCCAGCACAGCACCCACAAAATCACCCATCACCTCTCCACACCCAGGCAAGACGTTACCTTCTCCAGGGGTGTGTCACATATCCCGATACTGTTCAGTCCTGCCTGCCTCTGCGATCAAGTGATGGGGTCCGCGCGCCTGCCAAAGCAGAGAGCATAGCGTGTTCGACCTTCGGTTTCCCGGAACCCGGTAGTGGCCAGCGCATTATAGCCGCTGTAAAACGCTTAGTCTAATTACACAGTATAAGAGGCTCAGGAAGAACACCGGCCCCAAGGTAACAGCCCACACCCGCTGAGCCCGGTCAGAGGGAAGCCGGAAACAGTCCGACCGGTCGATCCCACGACCTGGGGAGCGAGCTGCGGTCCAGGAGCGCAACTGGGCTACACCGGCCCCGAAGCTCCGCCCGCAGATGCAGGCCCCGCACCCGCACCAAGGCGCAGGGGCCTGCGCGCTGAGACGCGAGGGTCAGCGCGCCGCTCGCGGGTCACCATGCGGGACCACGGTGGAGGTGCGCGTGCGCACACGGGCGGGAGCCGCTCCTTCCCCCACCTCGCGCCGCGCCCCGGCCCCCCCCCCCGCCTCCACCCCGCCAGCCCAGCCCCCTGACCCCCCGCGTCCCGGAGCGCCTGTCCGGTCTCCTCCAGCCGGCCACGCCCTCCGGCCCTCGGCATCCACGCCCCGCAGCCTCTTCCCCGCCGCCGGGAGACCTGAGCTGCCGCCGCGAGGGCCGCCGCTGACCTCCATGCGCGCCCGCACTGTCCTCGGACCACGCCGCGCGGCGCGCTCGTCACGTCACTCGGGGCGCCGCCGGAAGCGAGCCTCGCCTTGCTCCGCCCGGCCGGAAGTCACGCCGCTACCCTTTCCAGTTGGATGCCATCTTTGCTGAGGGCACGCAGCCGGGTGGAAGTCACGCTGGCTGTTCCTTTCCGGACGGGTGCCGTCTTTGCTGAGGGCGCGCAGTAGGCGACGGGGAGCGGAGAGGAGAGCGTTGGGCAATGGGGGGGGAGGGGAGGGGAACAAGGATCCCCGTTAGCGGCGTCCGGAGGCTCGGCGCCCTCCGGCCTGCACCCCAGCGTGTGGGGTGGCCTGGGGTGGACGGCGTCCAGGGCGGCCTGAGGTCCTGCAGGCAGTTTGCCCACATCTTGCCGGATTTTTTTTTTTTTTTTTAATATGGAATTTTATATGCAATCTTCTGATTTTTGAGAGTGTTGACGTTTAATTTTAAAAAAAATTAAAGTGCGGGTAAGCCAAGCACACGAGGCACCTGCAGTCCGTGTGCGGGCTTGATCTCCTTTCCTGCCACGCTTTTTCACTTTCTCTGAATTAGTAATTGCTTTGTTTTCTGTTGTTGGATTAAGATTCCACGTGTTTATTGATTTGGGAAACAAAGGCAAGTGAAAAATCAAATTTCCTTACTGCCTGTGGACAAGTCCTTGAAACAGGCAGAGTGACCTCTCTCTTTCCCTCCTTCCTTCCCTCCCTTCCTTCCCTCCTTCCCTGCCTCCTTCTCTCCCTCCCTTCCTTCCTTCTTTTTAATTTGTTTTGTTTTTAATTTCTAAAAGCTTGTGCCTTGTCATGATTTCTGATATTTCTCAATGATGCAAGTCTCCATCCTGAGCGCCTGATGGGCCCTCAACCTAAAAGCGCTTGTCTTTGGGCCGGAGTTCGTTGTTGTTTATTCGTATTCCCTTTCTTCCATTTTCTCTAATCTGGCTTTCCAAAATGCCCACGTTGGAATACTGGCTCTTGTACACCAATTTCTGGTTTTCCCATCCTGTCTTTGTTATTCTTTATTTCTTTGCTCGACCTTCTGAGCTATTTCCTCCTTAGTTTCCGCCTCTTCTCCTGAAGGTTCCTGTCAACACGTGTTTCTTTACCAAGAGCTCCTTTTTTGGCTTCTGAATGTTCCTTTTTACAGTTTTTTTTTTTTTTTTTTTTCCCACTATTGCGATCTTTTGTCTTACCCTGTAAGGATTTCGATGATAGGGGTTTCCCCCCTGAGTTTTTCTTCTCCCTGTTTACTTGCTGTTATTTTTTTCCTCTTGCTGTTATTGTTCGTACTGTTTTGGTTTCTGTTCTCAGATGTAAGGGTGGCGGAGAAGGAGCTCTCATCTGTGCTGGTTGGAACTGCAACATGGTGCCGTCACTTTTGAAGTTTACTAGTTTTTGTTTTGTTTGTTTTTTTACAAAACTAAGCATACTCTTACTGTCCAATGGGCTGAATGTTTTCTGTCCTCCAGGTTCATACGTGGAAGCTAATGACAGTGCTAGGAGGTGGGGTGTTTGGGAGGTCACTGGGTCATGAGAGTGGAGGCTTCAGAAGAAACCCCAGAGAGCCCCTGGCTGTTCTACCACGTGAGAACCCAGCGAGAAGTCTATACTACAGGACAGACAGCCCCCCTCCACCGTGCCGGCACCCTGACCTCAGAGTTCCAGCCTCCAGAAGTGTGAGAAACAGGTTTCTGTTGTTTGTAAGTCACAAAGTTTATGGTATTTTGTGACTGCAGTCTGAAAGGATACCGTGCAGTCTGGCAACCTTGATCCGTGGTTCACCTGGGGGAGGTGAAAACATATCCGTACAGAAGCCTGCACACGGTGTTTACAGCAGCTTCAGTCATAATTCCCAGGACCTGGAAGCAACCAAGGTGTCCTCAGGAGGCGGATGGATAAATGAGCTGTGGTGCGTCCAGATGATGGGATATTATTTAGTGGTGAAAAGAAAGGCGCCATCAAGCCATGAAAGGACATGGAGGAACCTTAAATGCATGTTACTAAGTGATAGAAGCCAATTTGAAAAGTTTGTGCACTGGGTGATTCCAAGGACATGACATTCTGGAAAAGGCAAAGCTGTGGAGACAGTAGAGAGGCCAGCGGTTGCCAAGGGTTAGGAAGGATGGGAAGGATGAATGGGGAAGGATGAATGGGCTGAGCACAGAGGGTTTTTGGGGCAGTGAAACTATTCACGTGATACTGTGATGGATGGGCTATTACAGCTTTGTCCAAACCCATAGAATGTATACTCCCAAGAGTGAACCGTAATGTGAATTGTGGGGTTTGGTGGTCGTGATGAGTCATGATGGGTTCATGGATCACAGCAAATGTACTTTTGGTGGGGGATGTTGAGACTAGGTGTGCGGAGGGGACAAGAGGTAGATTTCACTGTATTTTGCACTCAGTTTTGCTGTGAACCTAAAATTGCTCTAAAAAAGTGAATATTAAGAAAAAGCAATGAGGGGTGCCTGGGTGGCTTAGTCAGTTGAGTGTCTGACTTCAGCTCAGGTCATGATCTCACAGTTTGTGGGTTCAAGCCCCATCTCGGGCTCTGCTGACAGCTCAGAGCCTGGAGCTTGCTTTGGATTCTGGGTCTCCCTCTCTCTCTCTCTGCCCCTCCCCTGCTCCCACTGTCTCTCAACAATGAATAAGCGTTAAAAAAAAAATTAAAAGAAAAAAGAAAAAGCGATGAACACCTGTGCCGGCAAGGACTTGGGTGAGTCTCAAAACGATGATGTTGAGGAAAGAACCCTTACAATGTGACAGTAGAAGGCAATTGCCCAGGTAAGAACCGCTCAAAGAATCTGAGTAGACGTTTCTCCAAAGAAGATACACGGAAGTCCGGGGAGCACGTGGACACTGCTCAGCATCCCTATCCATCAGGAAGATGCAAATCAGAACCACGATGAGGGGCCCCTTCACACCCACTTTGGATGGCTGCAATTAGAACAACAGGAAAGCCCAAAAAATACCAAGCGATGGCGATGATGTAGAGAGATCAGAACGCTGAGGCAGTGTTGGGGGGCATGTGAAATGGCATGGCTGCTTTGGAAGACAGCTTAGCAGTTTCTTGTCAGAGAATTGCTGTGTGTCACTTAGGTGTATACCGCAGATAACTGAAAACACGTCGCAGAAACTTGTATGCAAATGTTCACAGAAGCGTTTTCCATAAAAGTCAAAATACAGGCACAATCCAAATGCTAACCGATAGATGCGTGAACAAACATGATGCGGTATATCCACCGTGGGATATCAGTCAGCCCAAGTTAACCTAGAAGAACCTTGAAAACATTACACTTGATGAAGGAATCCAGACGGCCTACTCCCTGTGTGATTCCATTTGTGTGCAGTGTCCCCGAGAGGCAAGTCCACAGAGCTGGAGGTCGATTAGTGGTTTCCAGGGGGCTGTGGACGTTGGGTAAGATGGGGAGTGACGAATGGGTCTGGGATTTGTTTGGGGTGCTGGAAATATTCTGGGATTGGGTGGTTGCACGATTAACTGTGAAGGTATGGGGAGCCGCTGGGTTCTACACGTTAAGGGGTAAATATCCGTCATGTAAGTTGTATCTCAGTAAAGTTGGTACCTTAAAAAAAAAGTGGCGGGCCATTAAGAGGACTTGCTGGCAGTGAACCTCGCCATCAGGCTGTTTTTAGGGAACCTACAGTTGCCATCTTGTTAGTTCTTTCCTCTTGGGCCAGAGCTGCCGATGTTTGGGGAACCTGATGGGGGGAGGATGGCTGGGTGGGGGAACAGACAGTCTCAGGCTTGAACGCATGTACCTTTCCTCTGTCGGGGTTCCTGTCGCTGTTGCTAGTGGGGGTTGTGAGGGGGGCACCTCCCCTGCAACGGCTGGGGGCCGGAGATCCCCGCCGAGAGCCCCTGTGCCACATGGCAGCCTCTCCCATGAGTGAGCAAACAGGAGGTCCCTAGAGGTGGTTTCAGCTCCACCTCTGACCTCACTCTCGGGGGAGCAGTGTCGGGCCTGGGGGCTAATTTAGAGCGGCCACGGTCAGGTTTTGGCAGGGTAGCCCCACACTCTGAGACTCTTGGTCAGGCCAGATGCCTTGGCCACACTCTGCAGAGAGGAGCTCCTGGCTTAGGTGGGGGGTGGGGAAATGTAGCGGCTCCGTTTTGTGGGCCGGTGGAGAGTATCTTACTTTGCGGGATGTGTTCAAACATGTTGCTGAGCTTCAAGCATGGCATTGCCTGGGCCACCAGAGGCAGTAGGCCGGATGGATCGGATGTGGAGATGTGGGGATATGGGGAAGAAGTGGCAGTTTTGTTCATTCTTGTCTCCCTCCCGATTCTGCTCTGTTAGAGCCCCTCCGTGTTCCTCCTTACCTCCTACCACCCACCGTTTCCGGTGCCCCCTCCCAGCCTGGCGGGCCCAGCACCAGGCTCACAGGAACATTGGTTGAGATGGGTTTGTCTCCCCTTGAGGGAGAGGAGGGATTGCTGGGAAGACCTCAGTCCTTCCGTCCAACACACTTGCTGACGGACGGATGGTGGTCAGGGGCATTAGGGTTGGCTGGCGTCTGGAGACACGACTGCTTAGAGGTGCCATACACGTTGCGGCCTTCCTGGGCCTCCCTGGGGATGTGGGGCTGTCCTGCACCTGCTTGCCCTCTGCGGGGCTGGGTTTTGGCACACTCTGGGTGGAGTGCGTCCAGCCCAGCCCTGGGGGGAAACCCTGGGCACTGAGCCCCTCCTGGCAGACACATCACTCGTGTTACTGCGGAATTCATCGCCTCCTGGGCGACTGTTCCCTAGAGATGTCTGGAAGCTCCTGCCTGCCCTCCTCCAGAGTTCCCCCCCCCCCCCCCCCCACCGTTCCTCTTCTCTCCTCCTGCTGTAAGAAGTCTTAGCTTTGCAGAATCACAGAGCCTGGGGACAGTCTTGGGGACTCTCCACCAAAGGGCTTTCCTCTCTCAGGGAAAGATCCTCCCTCAGGGCCTGCATGGACCCCTGAAGAAGAGGAATCAGAGCTGGTCAGCTTGGCCCCAGCTCTGCCCAGCACATGAACCTGTCCCTCACATGCTCTTGTATGGAAAACTGAGGCCAGGGAGGGCGGGGAGGGGACTGCCCAAGGGCACCTGGAGAGTGAGCACCCAGGGTTCCTACAGACATCTGAACTCCCAGTGCCTCTCCATCCTGCCTGGAGGCTCCCTCCCAACTGGGGAAGGATGATGAGCCCTCTGCCCTCCCAAACCGCAAATCCTGCCAGCAGCCAGGTCCCCAAAACCCACAGACTGATACATCCCCCCTTCTCCTTTGTCTTTCCCTTCTCCTGCATCACCCCTCCTCCTCCTCCATCCCTCCTCCTGCATCATCCCTCCTCTTCCTCCATCATCTCTTCTCCATCATCCTTCATCATCCCTCTTCCCCCTCCATTATCCCTCCTCCATCATCCCTTCTCCTCCTCCATCATCACTCCTCCTCCATTTTTCCTTGTCCATTCCTCTACCTTGTCCACTTCGGGGGGGATGGAGCCTAGTGGCCTGGGCAGGAGATCAGCCTAGTAGGGCCCGGGAGCTCTGGGCTTGGCTGCCGTAAGCACGTGGTGGGAGATGGTGGAGGGGGAGACAATTCCCCACGCCCCCGGGTCCTCTCTGAGATGGACCTCCAGTCCCTGAAAGCGATTGTCTTTAAAATATCTTTATTAACAGAAAGTCCTGGGTCTGGTGAGGCCAACAGATCAGGAGAGGACTGCCGTTGACTCTAATGTACGAGTCACAGTTTTCAGGGACAAGGGCAGCCTATGCCTCTCAGGGTCACACAGGGAAGCACTGTGTTGGTCAGGAGGCGGGGGTGGGGTCACTGTGGTACGGACCTCTGCTGTGGTTTCTGTGGGGAGCACCAGACAAGGGAGGGCAGGCGGGCTTAGGACTGGCTAGTGTGAATAATTAGCATGCTCTGCTGTGGCAGGGCTGCCCCCAGCTGCCCCTGGGAGGGGAGGAGGGCTGGGGATAGTGGCCTGGATGGTAAGACCCCAGAGAGAAGGGGGTTGGGGCATGGGCTCTGCATCCTTTGATTTGCATTTGAAAAGTGTTCCCCTTACCCCATGGGAGGAGAGGAGTCCTGGGGCAGTTGTGGGGGAGGTGGGGGTGGGGTGGGTAAGTTGACTCAAACATGACATCAGTGCCTAGTATGCCTGCGGGGCAGATGTTAGGGCACCAGGCTTACGGAAGCTGGATGTAGGGCTAACGCAGGGATGGAGGGGATGGGCGTTCTCTGCAGGGGAGGAGTCCTCCAGCATGGGGGTGGTTCACTCTGAGCTTGAGGAAGGGTGAGCTGGGTGGTTCCAGCTGCCTAGGCTGGGCTCAGGCCGCCCCCCCCCCCCTTCTGGAACCCTGAATGGAAGCTGCGGTCATCTGACGGCATCCTCGCGAAGACCGTTGGTGCATTTCTCTGGCACGGCCACCCCTTTGGGTTGCACGGGGACTCACAGCCATGGTGGGTCCTAGGATGCCGGGTTTGATCCCTTGGTTCAATTAGGGGCCAGCTCTCTGCTGTGGGAGGAGCTCCCCCTTGTGAATAGCGGGGCTGCTTTGAGACTGTGATGTTTCTGCAGGGGTTTCTGGTCATCTGGGTCGTCTGGTGATGCTTGGCTGGAGGAACGATAACTTTGGAGTTGGGAATGGTGGGTTTCTAGTCCTTCTCTCCCCCCTGATGTGTTGACTGGCATTTTCCGCTAAGAAGAGCCTCCTCTCCTCTGTATGCTGGTGGCGCTGAGGGGAGGGGCAAGGTTGTCTGGGGGTGGCTGCAGGTTGGCTCCCACTTTCTGACACATGGTGTCCCCCACGGCCTTGTTCTTTGTTCCCTCAACGGCGTCTCCAAGGAATCCTGCTTCCTTTTGCTGGAGAATGGTCCAGGAACAAAATTCAGCCACTGGTGAAAGCCCTTTTTATTTGGGACGATCCGTCCTGTCTCCCTGGCTCCTGACATGTTGTCTGGCATGTGACAAGTGGCTTCAGCGTGCACGACCTGGGGCCAGGCTGGGGGAAAGTTCTCCCCTGGGCTGGCTGTGCATGGGGGCACGGTGAGGAACTCTGGTCTCTCTCTGTCCCCTTCCTGGAGCAGCGCTTCAACACCTTGTGGTTTCCTGGCTGATGCAAGTGTCGTGTGTTGTTTGCAAGGACTCCTTTCTCACGCCGGGTTTTTTTTTTTTTTATTTTTTATTTTTTTTTTCAACGTTTATTTATTTTTGGGACAGAGAGAGACAGAGCATGAATGGGGGAGGGGCAGAGAGAGAGGGAGACACAGAATCGGAAACAGGCTCCAGGCTCCGAGCCATCAGCCCAGAGCCCGACGCGGGGCTCGAACTCACGGACCGCGAGATCGTGACCTGGCTGAAGTCGGACGCTTAACCGACTGCGCCACCCAGGCGCCCCATCTCACGCCTGAGTTTAAACAGATGCGGTGACTCTGGGGTAGGGGTCCCTCATGGCACAGGACAGGCTGGTGGCCTGGAGCCAACCATGTGGTTACGTGGGGACTGAGCTGGTCAACAACGGCTTCATCAAAATGCCTACTAATGCAGCTTTGAGAAAACCTCAGGGAGCTTCCTGGTTGGTGACATGTGGACGTGTTGGGAGGTGGCACGCCCCAGCCCAGTGGGGACAAAGGCTCCTGCATCTCTGCTCCCACCTTCCACGTGTGGCCTTTATTTGGCTTTGCTGGTCTGTGTCCTTTATCACAGGGTGTGATCCGAAGTGTTGTGCCTTCAGAGTCCTGTGGGTCATTATCACAACTTATGGGAGCTGTGGGGTTCGTGGGACCCCAAGACTGGTAGCTTGGGGTTCGTGGGACCCCCAGGACTGGTAGTTTGGGATTCGTGGGACCCCCCCCCCGGGACTGGTAGCTTGGGGTTTGTGGGATCCTCGGACTGGTAGCTTGGGGTTCGTCGGACCCCAGGGCTGGTAGCTAAGTGAGTCAGGGTGCAGGGCAGGGTGAGTCTGCGGTGCTGGCAGCCTGGTGGGAACTTGGGGGGGCCTAGCATCAGAACCGCAGTGGTCTCTGGGGTGCCCGCTGGGTGTTGGTTGGGGTGCACGTGCTTCACTGCAGGTCCTTAACAGAGCTTCCTGGGAGCAGTGTCTGTGCTCCCCATAAGCACACACTGCCAAGTGGGTGGGGGCCGCACACAAGCCGTGGAGAGAGGCCGTGGCAACCTCCAAGCCCCAGCCCTCCCTGCAGACTCCACTCTCCTCCTGTCCCCACGCCAGCAACGCCTCTCAAAGGGGCCAGACCCCAGAGGGCCAGAGCCCTGAGTGCCGGTGGACAGCCTGGTGCTCCCAGAGGCCTGGGTGCTTTGTCTGCCGCTCCCGCCCAGAGGTGCCCGGGACATGTGACAGACAGACAACAGAGAGACATGAAGCTGAGTGGGTTTTATTAGCAGCAGGTAGGAAACATCTTGGGCTTTCTGGATCCGAGAGAGAAGGCTTTCGCCAGGCAGGCTCAGGTGGGTCACTCGGGCAGCCAGGGACTCCTGGGGAAGCCCGTCACTGAAGGGGGTCCTCTGCAGGGGACACGGAGGCCTCAGAGGTGCAGGGTGGGGGCAGGGGAGGTATGGACGCTGTGTGCAGGTGGGCCAGCGAGCTCTCCACACCCACCCCTCCCCGGCCCTCACCAGAGCCCACTGGCAGGAAGGTGGGGTCACAGGTAGCCAGGAAGCAATTTCCCAGCTCCCGAGCCAGGTCTCCTTACAAGATTAAGTGGCCAAGGCACAGACCCTGCTCGGGTGGCCGGCCCAAGTCCTGCCAGCCAGGTCTCTGAGCCGCCTTTGTCTGCCCGGCAGCCCCAGGGGCCAGCGGCTGTGTCCTCGGGGCGGGTCTGGGGCGCTCACCTGTTGCAGGGTCCAGACACCGCATGGCGCACGTGCTGAAACAACACTTCCTGCTCCCTGCACACTGGCTGTCCACAGAGCACTCGGTGCTTTCTGAGCAGGGCTCGGGGGCCAGCGGGACGGGTACCCGGGGGCAGCGGCCAGCCTTTTGCAAAGGTGCTGCGGAGACACGGGCCAGCCCTTCAGTCCCAGTGGTCCACCGTGCTGCCGGGTCCCGGTGGGGGCCCCCACACCACTGTGCGGCACCCTGGACGGCAGCCGAGCCCTCAGGGAGGGGACCCTGAGCAGAGCCCCGTGGCTGGGCCAGCAGGTGGTTGGGGTCACTGCCTGGTGGAGTTTAGGGGGCTGTGGGGCAGGCCACTGAGAGGGGGTGTGGACGGTTCCTCCCTCCACCAGATAGGGTCTGGCGTGGGGCACAGGGGTGACTGTTACCCATGACGGGGAACACGCAGGAGCGGCTGCAGGGGCTCCTGGGGCAGCATCTGATGCCTTGGGGGCAGTCGTCATCGGTGCTGCAGGAGACGACGCAGGAGTCCTCCTCCGAGGAGCTGAGCTCCGGGCACATGGCCTGCCCTGCGCACAGGACAGGCAGGTGGGTGGGCGCCGCTCCCAGGATAGGAACCTAGTACCCTGACACACCGTTTCTTGTAAGGAAAAGAATCTGCTAGAGCGTGACATGCCTGCCCCAGGCCTACGACAGCAGGTGGGGTTAAGACCCAGGGGGCCAAGGACAGGCCCCCCCACGCTCAGCTAGCTGTCTCACAGTGGCCTGGGCCCTGCCGCATGGGGGTCTCTGGGCAGGGCCCTGCCCTGCTCTTCTGCCTCCTCTGCTCTGCTCCTCCGGTCCTGGTGCCGTCCTGGTGCGTGTCAGGGAAGCGCCTCGGAGACAGGGAGGTCAGAGGGCCCTCCTGGGTGCCCCCTGTGGCGGTAGCTGAGGCCTACCTGGCACAGTGAAGGCCGGGGCTGCGGCCAGGGCCACGGCAGCCTCCAGGGCGAGCAGGACCAGGGCCAGGCTGGCAAGACAGCGCATGGTGGCCAGTGGCAGGCCGTGGTGGATGGTGGCCAGTGGCCCCGGCCCCGCTTTAAAGGAGGCAGTGGGAGGAGCCGTCGGGGAGGAGAGGCTGGTGCCCGCCCAGCCGCCATGGGGCTTCCGACTTGGAGGGGCGCCAGGCTGGACAGCCACTGCGTCAGGGTCACGTTTTAAAACCTAGAAAAGTTCCTGATAAGGTGGGTGATTCCACTCCCTTGTGAAAGCACTGCCAGCTCATAGCCAGGATCAAGCAAAGGACTGACCAGGGAGGGGGGCAGTAGGGCGTGATGGGTAGTCTTCGTGGTTCACAAAACCATGTTGTGTTTGGGGGGGGTCACTTGGACAGTACATCTTGAACATTCTCATCGCAAGAAAAGAGTGTTTGTCAGGAGGTGACGGAGGTAATGAGACATTGTGGGGATCACTTCCCAAGGTTTGCAAACATCAGTCACCTGAAACCAATATCCTCTTGTGGATGACGATACCAACTAAGAAGAAGGTAAAACAGAACAAAGAAGTGCAGGGCAGAGGACGGACGGCACACATCTTCCCCGTCCCGGACGGCCCTGCAGGGCCCCGGAAGACGTGCCTGTCCTGTACTCAGAGCGGGGGGGGGGGGGGGGTGGGGCCAGCTGTGGCGGGGCAGCCTCGGGGGACATTCTGTCTCTCTTGTGGTGCCTTTCATCCCTTCTGGAACTTTCTAGGAGCAGCGTGCTGTTTCTGTGCAGGATGGTCACCGGGAAGGGCTTTTCCCAGAAGGTGTCAGGGTGAGACGACTCCTCCATTCTTCTTCCCTGAGGACCTGGGCAGGAAGGGGGCCCCAGGGTGGGTAGGGAGGGGGTCCCAAGGTGACTGTGGGCTAGGGCTGCCTGGTCTAGGCTGCACTCCTCGACCTGGCCGCCTGGCCGGGGGCCTCCACCTTGGACGGCACTCCCCTGGGGCCCTTAGCCTGTGCTGCGTGCATTTCCAGATGCTTCGGTCCAGAGACTTCCACTCGGGCCCCCAGCTGTGTCCACCCGGCCCCGGGAGCACCCTCTCGGCCGAGTCCTGGGGCCTCAGCCCAGGCCCAGCCCAGGTGGATCACCCCTGGGATCCTGGCCAGCGACAGTGAGTTGCAGCCTCTCTGCTTTTCCAGGCTGGCAGTTCATGGGATGTTTCCGCACCAGAGCCCAGGAAGGAGGCAGCAGACAGGCCTGAGTCAGAAGACCGAGCCCAGGAGGAGAGGGCGGGGAGGCCACTGTCACTCACTGGAGGGCCCTCTGCTGGCCCTTCTGCCTGTTCTCTGCGCCTTTGCCTGGACGCTGGGTCTGAGGCCAGGCTGAGTGCACCTGTCCCCCACTCCCCAGGACATGGCCTGCTGCCTGTGGGACCTGTGGGCACAAGTCCCTTTCTCCAGGACCGCTCACAGCTTCTGAGCTGTGCTGTCCTGCATTGGACCTCTCCCTCCTCTCCCTTCCCCTTCCCTTCCTCCTCCCCTGCTTCCTCCCCTCCCCACTCCCCACCCCTTCCCTCCCGTTCCCCACCCCATCTGCCCTTCCCCATCCCTTTGCCTTCCCTCCCCATGCCCTCCCCCTCCTGTCCCTCCCTTCCCCATCCTCTCCCCGACTCCCCTCCTCTCCCCTCCCCCTTCCCTCCCTTCTCCTCTCTCCTTTTCCCTCCCCTCTCCTTCCCTCCTCTAGTCCTCCCCTCACCCCCAGCTCCTCCCCTATTCTCCCTCCCTTTCCCTCTCCCCCCC